GAATGCCTTTGCATAGTCAATAAAACACAGGTAAACATCTTTCTGGTATTCTCTGCTTTCAGCCAGGATCCATCTGACATCAGCAATGATATCTCTGGTTCCACGTCCTCTTCTGAATCTGTCTGGAATTTCCAGCAGTTCCCTGTTGATATACTGTTGCAGGCGCTTTTGAATGATCTTCAGCAAAATTTTACTTGTGTGTGAAATTAATGATATTGTTTGATAATTTCTGCATTTGATTGGATCACCTTTCTTGGGAATAGGCATAAATATGGATCTCTTCCAGTAGGTTGGCCAGGTAGCAGTCTTCCAAATTTCTTGGCACAGAGTGAGCACTTCCAGTGCTGCATTCGTTTGCTGAAATGTCTCAGTTGGTATTCCGTTAATTTCTGGAGGCTTGTTTTTCACCAATGCCTTCAGTGCAGCTTGGACTTCTTCCTTCAGTACCATCAGTTCCTGATCATATGCTACCTTCTGAAATGGTTAAACGTCGACCAATTCTTTTTGGTATAGTGACTCTGTATTTCTTCCATCTTTTGATGCTTCCTGCATCATTTAATATTTTCCCTGTAGAATCCTTCAGATGTCCTTGATGTCATTCTATACCTCCTCTGGTCTTTGATCATTTTATATAGAATACTAGTAAATATAACAAAATATATAGTTTTATTATTTTGGTTTAATTTAACTGTTGTAACAGTCTCCAGATTAGTCTCTGTGCCTCCAGTTTTTTTTTTTTTTTACCTTCCATTCATCTTCATGTTAAAAAAAAAATTATGTAATAGTCCGCAATTTATAAATTCACGTCCATTTTTCCAGGCACTGTGTTAGACATGGAGCCCTGGTAGCGCAGTGGTTCAGAGCTGTGGCTGCTAACCCAAAGGTCAGCAGTTCGAATCCACCAGCTGCTCCTTGGAAACCCCATGGGGCAGTTCTACTATGTCCTATAGGGTTGCTATGAGTTGCAGTCGACTCAATGGCAATGGGGTTTTTTGGGTGTTAGACACAGGGCAAACGTTTAGACCCTCCCCCTTTCTGTTTTTTGCTCAAGGAGCTCAATCTTCAGTGGCTGCGCATTGCATAGGATAAAGCCCAAATACCTCAGGCCTTCACAATCGGGCTCCATCTGTTTTTCTAGTCTCCTTCTCTTTTCACATCTACCTTCTTTTCCCCTGTGTTCTTCACACCAGTCACACTAACCTTCTCATGGTGCCAGAGCGCCCTGTGTTCTTTCATTGTTTCATGCCTGTACTAAGCTTCTATCTGAAATGCCCATCCCCCTTTCTTGCCCTGGAATTACCCCGGTTCAAAGGTCACCTCCTTCCGAGGCGCCACACAGGCATAGTTGGTCTTCGCCTCCACTGGGAGCCCATGGAATTGTTTGTGTGCCTGTATGACACAGTATCATGATTCTCTAAGTGTCTGTCTCTACTTTGCCTCTTTAGGAGCAGATGGATGCCTTTCTTCTCTTACTCCCCAACAGCGTAATATAATGAATGAATGCAGTGTCTATAGAAGCCTTCCGTAAATATTAGTTGAGTCAGTGAATAAACTGTCCTGAAAATTTTCCCTCAAATAATGGTTCCCTTAAAATCATTAATTCTCTGGAAAACAATCTAATTGTATACCTTGTTCTAGAGTGAGGTATTAACTCTAATACTGAAAAGGATGTGCTAGAAATAAGAGAGATTGCTGAATAAGGCAAAGAAGACATTAAAAGGAGGATGTTGTCCTGTCAACAGTCTGTCAGAAATCTTTATTGAGGCTTGTTATGTGCCAGGCACTTTTCTAGGTACCATCGATTGCTTGGTTTCATAAAATAAGCTGTAGCAGGTACTTTCATTTCAGGTTCAGGACTCTTTCTTTCTTTTTTTTCCAGGACTCTATGTAAAAGAAATTATTTGTTAATAGACACATACAGAGATCTAGTTTTAATTAGGTCTCTTTGCCAGCTTTAGTTCTGTGCTCTGTGAGGGCAGTATTGCTATTCTGACAAAGGTATAGCTTCCTGTTTATGTTACTCAGGTGTTCTTAATAAATGGACCTGTGCTCTGAATGGTGATCTGAATAGTGTCGTCCTGTGGATAAGGCGTGAGAGGGTGAGGGAGCCTCAGTAGGAACCACAGAGCTTTCACGAGATGTCGGTGCCTAGTTTTCTCCCCAGTGGACTTGAAGCCAGGAGAAAGCATTGGTAAGTGAGCCTGCAGAGAAAAGCTCAGGCTTGGGAAGCCAGCAGCGGGGATGCGTGGGCTGGTGGTTTCTGTGCAGTATGTTCTCATCTGTGAAACACAAAACAGAAAATGCTGAAGGCTCCCAATACTCCTTTTCATATCTGCTATCAAGAACATTCTAGGGCACAAAAGAATTTGTCTCTCACTGTGTCTCATATATGGGTTTTTCTAGCCAGTGTCTTGAACTGAATTGAATTAAAAATGAAGCCAAAGTAAAAACTAGCTTTGTCCCCAGTTTTTTTTTTTTTTTTTTTAAACCGTGACACCTACATGTTGTTTTTTAGGTAACCAACTAGAATGTACTTTCTAACTACCTGTGATTAATGGTTTACCTACTTGGAAACCCAACTCTGTCTTAGGCCCCTGGCCAACACTGATTTTATGAAGATCCACCACACACTTCATACTTTTCACACTCGTAAATATGCTGCTAAGCTGTGCTCGTCAGAGGCAATTCCGTTGCCACGTTTGAGAAGGGAGTCCAGAAGCATATTTGCTTCTGTAATTGGCATGACTGCGTTACAGAATCCTGGAGCTTTATGAGTGACTACAGCTGAAATTCACTTTGATCTTGCTAGATCCCTTCATACAGGAAACTGTGAATTAAGGTTGCGGGATAAATCCCCTAAAACTTTTTCAGGGTCAAAGAGAATGCACACAATCGTTAACTGCTTTTGTTCCCTGTTTTTTTTCTTTCACTAGAAGAACATATAGATAAAGACAGTTTATAAAGAATGGGCAGGAATACAAACACCTGGCTAATCAAGTTAGCATATTTATTATATGTGAGATTATACTTCCTAAAAGATTAGCGTATAATAAAATTAAGTCAATATTAAGTCGATACTAAAATAACTCTAAACTGAAATGAGCATTTTTTTTTTTTTTTTTTTGCAGTGACTCAGGGTCACCATTATCATCATGGATAGCTGCTCCCCTATCACAGACATTGAACTTGACTTCCAGTCTTTCCAGGCTCTGGGATCCAGCCAAGCCCTTCCCTCCTGGGACAGCTGCTTTCAGGAGCCAAGTAGGCTAGTGGTGCGTCTCCCTCAGCGAACCCATCCAGCTTTCTGGGTGTTCACGTGGAGTAGTGGAGAAGTCCTTCCACCAAGGCCAGCTCTGTGCACCAGACTCCCATCTCTGTCACCGTCAGTCTCCCTAGATGTGTAGCCTCTTTCCCCAGTGTCGGCTTCAGGTATTTCAGTGCTTTTCCTCCTCAGCTGTATGTGTGTTGGGCCCTCCTTCTCCATTCCTCACAGACTGCCTACAGTGAGGAGCCATATTCAGAGTATTTAATAACCAGAATGATGTGGGCTGGCCCCAACCAAGCAGAAAGGGAAATAGTCCATGCAGGTGCAGGCTTATGTAATTCATGGAGGCCCTGTGCTATACCAGGTGTACCCCTTTAGGTACTGGGGTTACAGGGGGAACACAGGGGCTGTCAACAAATGGGGAACACTCTGGAGGTCAGAAGTGTGGCTACCTACCAAGCGGTACTGTTGTGCTGGTCCCCACTCACTGAGTATCTCAGCCTTTCTGAGACCGCAGATGCCTTCCCAGAATATTGCCTGCATTCCTCACCTTAACAGAATTCTGGCTTCTCTCCCCCATGCAACTTTCACAGATGGTGGCTGGCACTTTGCCCACACATCAGGGAGTACACGGCCGGAAGGGATTGGGCTTTCTCCTTGATTCCTAAGGCTGCTTCCTTGGTCATCACTTCCTCCATCCCTACCCACCCTGCAAGGTAAAATCACCTCCTTGAGACTTACGTCCGTTAACTGTCTATCCCTGCCTACCCCTTTCGGTTGCTGCTCTCTAGTAAGCTCCTGGCAGTCTCTAAATTTCATCAAGGACTTTGACTTATTTAATAAATGTTTAATAAGCATTTACTGTGCCAAACAGTTTGCTATGTATACAAAGATGAGTAAAACATGATCCTTGTTCTTAAAGATAAGCTTGTAGTTTAATGAAGAAACATAAAATAATTACCAGACTAGATGGTAAATGCCTTAATGGACATACAGTATTTACAAGTTGGAAGCATGGACACATGGAAATGGGTGGGTGGGAAGGAAAGCAAGGGAAGGGTCAGAGAAGGCTGGACAGAATTGGTGAGCCAGTAAGTTAGAGTTATTCAGGTAGGGAGAAAGGCATCATTCATATCACCAGGAGTGACGTGTACAAATGGACTGAGGCCTGAGAGGAAATGGCGCCTTTGGGGAACTGGTAGTGATTCAGTCCAGGAGGTGTAAAGGATTTATGCTAGGAAGTGGCAAGGGTAATCCTGAAACATGCAAGGAGCCGGAGCGTAAATCTAATCATCTCCCCACACAAATATGCTTTCACTCCTTTCCTCCCTTTTTTTGACGGGTGGCAACCAGCCATCCTAGAGTCCTACTTCCCCATCAATTCCCACATCTCTAAGCCCTAAAATCTCCCTTCGCCCCCACTGCCCCTGCTTTAGTTCGTGCCTCATTGCGCAACATGGCATTACTGCAATGGCCACCTCATTGGTCCTGTCACCACCAGGCTCACCCATCCCCTCTCCGTCTTCCTCTGATGACACAGTGGTCACTCACTATTTTCAGCTCAGGACAATGCCCTTCCCAGGGGGAAGGAGTCTGGGCAGGTGGTTTGGTGGTTCCCCATTGTGAAATGAATGAGGTTACCTTAGCCTGCTGCCTGAGCGTAACCACCAGACTCTGGTATCCCCTGTAGCCAACCTGAAGGCAGAACCTTTGCTTCCAGAGGACTCCAGCCCTGACCTTCTCTGCAGGAATACTTTTTTTCTCTGTGAATTAATAAACTGGTATTCTGATCTTATTTTTAAATGCAGATTAAATGACTTCCTAGACTTAGATGCTTCAATAACCCTCCTTCACCTTCAGATTAAGATTGGAACTTTTTATGGTTCCCAAGGCTGTCAGTGATACGAGCCTTGGTTACCATCACTCCTGCACAGGGCCCTGGACCCCAGATGCTGTTGAATTATTTGAGTTCCTCTTGCGTGACAGTCTTTCTTTTGCCTGGGATGCCTGCTCCTCCCCTTGCTATTCCTGGCTAACCTCAGCTTGGTCTTCTAAATGCAGCTCAAAATTTGCTCCTGAACAAAGCCTTTCTGGACTCTTCCGTGGCAGGGACAGATGACCCTCCTCTGTGCTTCCGTAATGCCCCATGCTAACCTCTGCTGCAGCCTCCTAATCCTATGTGGTCTCTGAATCCTACATTGTAGTGATTGGTTGTCTGGTTTACCTTTCTAGGCTGTGAGCAACCTGAGGCAGCTCCAGGTCAAACGTATTGCCTTATGGCATCAGTGTGTGTATCCTGTGCTTTGTTTTTTGGCCTAATTTTTGGCATTTTTATTTTGCTTTTTTTTGATGGAATTGCTGGATTTTGACAGACTTTAGGTGTGGACTCTAAGGCACACTGCTCCAAAGAGGTAGTGTTTGCAGCTCCCCAGGATAGATGCTGAGCAGCAAGGTCTGAATGAGGTGGCCACGGAGCAGTTAGCAGGCAGCTGACACCACACTGCTGCGGATGAGGTGTTGAGATTATAGGGAGACTCTGAAGGCTGTTATCTGTGGGTGGATCCCAACTGTAAATTCTTGAAATAACTTGCTTTCAGTCATCCAAAATGTTTGGTACAAATTAGTATTTATAATTTACGGTAGTTACAATAAGTATTTCAGAATGCGGTATGTTATTTTGGGAAATTGAGATCTTGATTAACAGTAAATAAAAGAAAAATGACAACCGCAAGGAAACAAAACAATACCATTATTCATAAAATGTTACAAATCTGTTATGAGCTTGTTTGAAATACAAAGTCTTAGGTGCCTGTGGTCAAAATGTTACTAAATCCGATGCCATCCAGTCGACTGCAACTCATAGCAACCCTATAGAACAGAGTAGAACTGCCCCATGGGGTTTCCAAGGAGCGGCTGGTGGATTCCAACTGCCAACCTTTTACTTAGCAGCCAGGCTCTTAACCACTGTGCCACCAGGGCTCCTTAAAAATGTTACTAGAAGTTCTTAAAATGCCAAAATGATAGGAACAAAAACTAGAACAGACTGAAAAAAAGTATTCAAAAAGGGATTAAATTTTAAACCAGGTTCTATACCCAACAGTGTGTTAACTTCAGTCTGCTATATTAAAAGCTGAAGATACAAGGTGAATAAAACAGGTTCCTGCCCTTAAGATATTCGCTCTGTAGTGGGAGCGCCAGGCTGGCAAACCAACAGCTAAGAGTCAAGGAAATAATTTACTTCAGTAGTTTATTTTTTTTTAATTATTTTTTTATTGTACTTCAGGTGAAGGCTTACAGTACAAATAGTTTCTCATGAAACAGTAGTGCACATATTGTTTTATGACATTGGTTAACAACCCCACAACATGTCAACCCTCTCCCTTCTTGACTTTTTTTCTTTGGTGAAAATATACATAGCCAAACATAAACCATTCCAAAAACCTCTAGGTGCACAGTTCAGTGACATCGACTATGCTCTTCCAGTTGTGCTGCTATTCTCACTTTAGATGAAGGCTTACAGAACCAAATAGTTTCTCATTTAACAGTTAGTATGCATGTTGCCCTATGACAATGGTTAACAACCTCACAACACATCAACACTATCCTTAACTCAATCTTGGGTTCCCTGTCACCAGCTTTCCTGTCCCCTTCTGCCTTCTGGACCTTGCCTGGACTACTGTGCCTCATTAGTCCTGTTTGGTTATATGGGGCTGTCCACTCTCCGGCTGAATGGTGAACCTCGGAAATGACTTCACCACTGAGCTAAAAGGGTATCTGGAGGCCATACTCTCGGGGTTTCTCCAGTCTCCTTTAGGCCAGTAAATCTGGTCTTTTTTTTTTGTGAGTTAGAATTTTGTTCTACATCCTTCTCCAGCTCTGTTCAGAACCCTCTGTTGTGATCCTGGTCAGAGCAGTCAGTGGTGGTGGCT